TAGTAAATACCCTCACAAAAAACTAATTTCAAATTACGGACGTGAAATTAACAATTAATTTTATTTGGCCTTAATTCAAAAGGAAAATTAGCTCACAGGCTTAACACTTGTCCAAAAAAAAAAAAAAATATCCTTCCTATATAGGGCCTATATATAATATTAACAACCAATTTACAATAACATAAAAATGCTTTAAAAAAATGAATTTTTCGAAACAGTATGCCTACTGTGATACCTCTTTCCAATTGTTCAGTATCGGCATTAATTATAAAATTTGCGGATTTACTCTAGTATTCCAGAGAGGAACATAAATTATTGGGTTGTCGCAAATTATACCGACTTTGCCTGATCCTAAGGTAGAAGATGGTTAAGTCTGTGATTAGTATTTTTTAATTTCGTAAAATATCCCCTACACAGCTTTGACTAATTTATATATTTATAATGATGTAGACCTACTTTACTAACTTATATATGCCTATATAATGAGGTTTCACGTATGTCTTATTTATAATAAAATTAGAAACGTATACGTTGATATTATATGCCATAAAATATTTTTAATTTGTTACCGTACTCATATACAATGTGTAGGTCCTATCACATGCATTCAGTTGTTACTTTCACTTACAATTTTTTTTTTGAAAAATTGAAATTTAAAATCGCTGAATAAAACCTCTTTAAGCGAACTGCCGTAAAAAAACATTTGAGATCGAGTGTATTAAAAAGATAAAATAAAATTTGAAGCTTATCTTTAAGAAATTAAAAATAAAAATATATAGGGGCCTATAATTTGATTTGATTTATACTCTAATGCAGGTACATACCGAACCACTCTCATAAAGTTCCACAGAAATCCACAAACCCATTGCCATTAATTCAGCTCTCATTCTTTTATTGCCTTTCTTAGTATCAATCGATTCCGGAAATGTTACTGTATCTTTTTGTTGTACTGTATTCATCATGTTAGTCAGATTTATGGTTATTTTGAAGAACAACCTAATTCCTACATAGTAAACACAACTGAACAATCGTACACATGAAATGTTGATGTAAATGAAGGAAAAACTATGCTAAACGTTATTACAATTATTATTTTTGATATAGGCATAATATCAGAATCCGTTCTATGACCTTGATGATTGATCGACGATCGTGTTTACACCGTTGACCTTTGACATAAATCATATGAAAATGAACGCATGCGTGTTTGAAAGAAATATGTCTGCTTGCATTAATACAATGTTAAAACAGTTTGCTGTAATATTTAGGTGTAAATAAACACGGATATAATGTCAGCAACTCCCCCAGTCCTTACACGGGCTATTTCTAGGCCCACGGGGCAAGAGTTTGTCCATGATTCACCCGAAGGAGCTGAGTGCTTAGTGGGTAAGATTGAATGATATTATTAGCTAGGCCTAGGTCTAGCCTACCATGGATGGATGAGCATGGAAGAATACATTTTAGGGCCTACCTAGGCCTAGGCTAGTTTCAATTTGTATTGATGATGATTTGAACGGACGTCGATGGAGTTGTGTGTTTTAATTGTTTTGGCCTGAGTACTAGGCCCTAGGCCTGACTACTCTACTACTACTCTAGGCCAAGGGCCTACTAGTAGGCTACTGTATGTAGTAGATGAAGGAGCACACACAAAATTAAGTATAGGCCTAGGCCTAACCTTCAATTGACTTCAAATATAGTTTCACATTAATTCAATGAAAAGAACACAGATGTGAGTAATCCAGTTCACTTTAATTAGATGACAAAAATTGGTTGAATGTTTACAGAGTTCTGCTAATTTAATAAAATACATTTTTTCACCGATTTACGCATGTTGACCTATCTTGAATTTGTGACTATGCATGCACAGTGCGTACAGCTTAGTCTTATTAAATTACATAAAAAATAACATTATGTAAAATTACTTTAATATTTTCATAATTTTTAAATACAAAAAAAAAATTTTTTTTGTATTTTATTAAAATTGGAAACATTTTAAGCATATCGCCACTAAAGTTTTTTGAAGGTGAGAATTCCATATTCTGAATTGGAAACTATCGGCGAACATCGTATGAGTGTTTGTTTTTTTGTAATATCCAATCAGAGTCCAGGAAAAGGCCCTCCGTGACTTTAATTTTTTTCTAATACTGTATGGTAACACTTTTCTTCAGGATTTTGACAAGCGCTCTCACTCAGATGTGCTCCTAGCTAGTCTAGACTAGATACCTGCTATACAGTGTGTTCTGGAGCTGAAGTAAGCCTAGGCTAGCTAGTAGGAGCACACAATTCAATGGAAAGAACACATTGATGGGAGTAGGCCTATATCTAATGTTTAGATGACAAAAATTGGTTAAATATTACAGAGTATGCTAAATGGTATGTGATCATACTGTAGCATGCAACACACACAGCCTAGCTACTGTAAGCCAGAGGCTGAATGCTGATGCCTCCTCTCTCTGCACGTGTTCTGGTAGGCTAAGCGATGACACATCACTTGTATCGTGGCGTGGATTGGCTCAGACCCTACAGTACCTAGCCCACTACGGTATTTAAACACTCAGCTAGGCACATAGTGTCAGATTGTATAGTAAGCCTGCCCGGGGAATATACTCCGCACAAAAATTTGGCCTAGAAATCCATCCGCGCATTTCGGAAAATAAGGGCCAATTTCTGTGTGTTTACCATCTATATGATTACCAATACTAATACAGTAGAAACCCTCTATGGGAACATCCTAAGAGGACACTTTTTGCCTGCGAAATCGTAGGAAAACAGATCTTTTAAAAATATTGTGTCAACCCCTATTCAAGGGACATTCCTAGTACACCCCGATTAAGGGGGATATTATTATCCAAAAAATGTCTGTTTTAATATTATTTATTTAAACCAACATTTTCTATTTCAGCAATTGACTTTGATGTTTCCTATGAAACTGTACATCGTTGGACAAAAATGCCAGACTGTGATGAATTTGTGGGTGCCAGGTAAGCAGTGAAATTAGATATTTTGAATTTACAATTTCGTTGTAATATTGCAGACAAAGAATAGACATGTACAGTACAAAGCAGAAAAAAATATCATTCTTGTGGTTATCTATTTATTTTATTTACTTTGTGAACATACGCCTTTAGATCGACGGCACTCAAGGGTGGTGCGTTCAACTTAAAATACCGTACTCGCGCAAATAAGCGCCCCGTTTGAATAAGCGCCCATGAGAAAGTGCAAAAAATATTTTAAGCGCCCGGGTGCTTATTCGCGCGAGTACGGTACAGTATAATGAATCGCTCAATTACAGTACAATAAGTACAAATAAAACATAATTGACACAAACTTAAAATAATTAAAAGGAAACTGAGAAATAGAGTAGTGAACTTAAAAATTAAAAAAAAATTAAAACAATAAAACAATACAATAATATGAAAATACATTTGTGTACACATACACAAATAAATCCCTCCCTACTTAATCAGTTTTTTTTTTAAAATTTGACCCACACAGACCAGAATAAAACAAACAATTCCATACAAATAAAAAAAAATTTAAAAAAATAAAAAATGCATAGATGCAGTGAAACAAGGTATACAATTAAAAAACAAAGTAATAAATTTGTATTAAACTAAGATACAGTAGACTTAATTCAGTTATACCCCCATATACCCACCCCTCCCAACTCCCTTCCACATATTAATTACAGTTTCATGCATTGTAGTGTATAACAAATGTAAGGTATGAAGTAGATAAATAAATACACAGTAGCAAATAAAGTTAGAAAAAAGGTTAACAAAATGAAGCAATTAAAAACTAATATTAATACCTTAAACATAGTGTCATGTTGTTTGCTGGAAGAAGAAATTAAATAAACTAATATAATTTCTTATCACATTTGTTACGGCCTTTTGTTGCAGGCGAAACAAACATACAGTTGTTGCCTATAAAGATGCAATTTATGTATTTGGTGGAGATAATGGGTGAGTACATCCTACAATTGTTAGTATTTTGGTGTGAAAAAAAAACCTTACTGTTGTCTTTCAGAATATTTAATGAATCTTTATAGTCTCCATAAGTTATGTGACACAAGAATGTTTATTAGAGGTAAAAACAATCCATTTCTGTAACCTTGAGTAAGGGCTCATGATTTTTGCTCATTAAAAAGTACATGCCTTCACAGCCATCATTAAAGGATCAGTTTATTTTCTTAGAAGGAATGTTTAAAAATAACCACAAACCATAAGTTAAAGTATAGTAAAAAATATTGTACATCAGCTTGTTCCAATGAATGAGATAAAATACTGGTACACTAATTTGCACAGGTGTTTTGAATGTAATTCTGTTTCTTTATTGTGATGTTCTTAAAAAGAAACAATGCTTTCTTTGTTGATGATAAAGGTTCAACAGAAGGTTATTACTCCATAGACCATAAAGCAAGCACTCATGTTTGTTTTAGATTATTTTAGTTATTTAACCAATTTGCACAGGATTATTATAACCAATTTAACAGTATATGGAGTATTATAATATGCAATCTTAATTCCTCTACTGATGAGTCACTCAGTGGGATTTTTCCCTTTTGTTTGTCATTGCATTAGTCATCATCATCAATTCTTTTGTTATCTTAAACTTGAATTCAGAATCTAATTTAAAAGATACAGTAGTTTTTGGCGAGTCGAGTGGCCGAGCGGTAAGGCAGGTGTGCCGTTTGGTTGGTAGAAACGAGTCTTCTCAGATAAGGACTTAAAATGAGGTCCAGTGTACACATCTGGCTTAGTGTGAACTTTAAAGAACCCATTGCATCTTTGGGAATAGTAGAGGGTTACCCCGAGTCTGTGGCTCATTTTAACCCCTGCCATTATGGAATGATGTGAACGTGTAGCTACTGTACATATAAGCGCTTCTTTACGGCAGCTAGTTAGTCACAGGCGATGCCCATACACAATTCAGGACAGTTAATGTTTTATTCTCCTACCTTTACAGTTAATGTAAAATCTATGAAGTCCCTACAAAATGCAATTACTTATTTAAAGGAATCAAATAAGTTATTATTGACTTTCAATCAAAGGTCAAAACAATTCAGTTTTTTCTGATTTTCAGGCATTTTATAAAGCATTCTTTTAAATCGATTAACAACAGCCAAATCTGTTCAAAAAATGGAATGGTATTTTGTATTGTCTGCATTAGGCAGATAAAGTACTTGCTCTAATACTTGTACATTAACTTACAATGTACTTCAAAGTAAGCAATTCAAAGTCTGTAAAAACCATTTGGTTTCAATCAGTTTTCAAATGTTAAAAAAATCTGTATCTCATTAACCACTCCCAAGTTTTTTGTCAAATATGCTTTTTGTGTCTTACAACATATATCAACAATTTTTTTCCTCCATTGAGCTTGGCATGGTTACATGACTATTTTATTCACTGTTTCAGAATTCAAAATTCTCTCACATTTTAATTAATGACAATTCCTGTATTTTTGCCTTGGGCCTTAACTTGTCAAATTAGGAGATTAGATTTAATAATTTGCCTCCACAGTAATTGCATTGCGAGGCCTTCTGTTACGTAAAAATAAAATTGTAAACCAGAACCATGTTTTTTATTTAATGTGGCCTAAAAAACATGTGATTGATGAGGTTCTGCATCGTGTTATTTTTTTTTTTAATATTGCATTGTGCTTCACTGTTATTCTAGTACAGTAGCTTTAATTGGTTCAATAGGGAAAAGTTAACGAATGGATGGTAAGGTTCAGTCAGTAGAGCATTCATGCGGTATATTAAAAGTCTTGGTTCAGGCCCAAACATGGTCACTCAATATTAAGTAGCTAGGTGATGACACAAATTTGACCTACAGTATATTTTTAGTTTTTAGTTTTGTCATGTTGTTTATTAGGCCAAGTTTAAAAAACAAATAAGTTTCTTAGGTTTGTGTTAACTAAATTACTCTGATGTTGTGTTACTTTCTATTAATTAAAAAAAAAAAGTAAATTATGCGTTGTTGGTTTGAGGTATTTGGCGAATACTGTAACCCATTTTGGGATGACATGGATAATTGAGTTGAATTACTTGGAATCCTCAACCTGAGTAAATTTCAGTACCATTATGAACTGTATTTGTGGCAGGGACAGATGGAATCAGTTGTATGTCGATAAACTCTGAATGGAGATATAGACCTATCAATATAACAACACGATTAGAGTGAAAAAAAAAATTGATATCCATTTTATTGAATAAAATAAACCTTTATGTACTTAAGAATTAGTCTGTGTTGTTATTTTTTCACATTTAAACTAAAATCATTAAAAAAAAAAAAGATATTTTTGGAGGCTATCATGAATATGAATTATCACAACTTGGTCCATTTTACGCCGTAAGAATCAGCTTTTTCAACGCCCAGTAGGTCGCCATATGTAAAAGGTAGTGGCGCATGTTTACTATCATTTTGAAGCTTATTTTTTATACAGTAAACTCCTATTTTATTGGACAATTGAGGCACTAGCTGCTTATTATAGCTAATTACAATGCATTTTTAAGTTGTAAACAAACCTAAACAGTCCTTAAGGATGGTGCTGTATTTTGCTCTCTGATTGGTCAATGTGAATAGGACGCTTAAAAAATCTAAACTGCGCATGCTCACTAGCAAACGTGGCGTAAACAAACCTCTAGAAAGTATGGCATTGAAAGCTGTGGAAGACGCGACAGAATATTTGTAGACGAAGAATGTGAAGATTATTTAGCCACTGACTCCGATGTTTTGAACAATGAAGAAAGGATTAGGTGGTGTTTCAGTCTGAAGAAACTATGCCTAGGTTAGACCCACTAGCTAAGGAGGAGCCTACTACTACTAGCTAGCCCTAGGCCAACACCACTTGGTGTGGTTTTTTTTATCTTATATGAAAAGACTGCAATTTTTTCAAAATTCTGTACAGTATAATAATAATAATAATAATAATAGAGAATTATACGGACATTAAAATAAATGACTGTTAACCTCTCCTGTATTAAGCGATATTATGCGATTACATTTCCCTCTTTTATTAGAAAGGACGGTGTAATGTTCACTAAATCTATCAATATTTTTGTCAAACTTTAGACTACATTTAAATAGTGAAGACATGGTCTGATTCAAATAAAATTTTGCATCATATTTCAAGAATTTTATGTTCATTGATTGTACGAGATTTCATTACTATGCACAATTATAACTACTCGTTGCTAGGGTATCTATTTATCCCGTTCGCGAAATGTAGGCTGTCGCACGCTTATTGCGGTCGGTAAACTGTACGTGCTAATTTCTCAATAACTTCTTTCAGTAGCTTCCACACATACACACTGTTTAGATTTACGTAACTTTGTACTAGAAGTCGGATATTAATACTTTTTTCACTGTTAATTATTATGAAGCTTAGACTCTGCTACTTAATGTTTTGACATTACCTCAAATTTTTCCGACAAACAACTGATTCCTTCTGTCCCTGCTACATTTAGTAATGCTATTGGGTCATAAATGACAAATTTCCTGTTATTTAGATAGAAGATTTTAGTTAATTATTCTTTTCCGAATATCAAGTAAATGAAAGGATCTACTCACCGGAAACTAATTTTTAATTATCATATTGAAGGATGATTAAGAATAACAAATTTTGAAAGATGTTGCTTTAATTTTCTTTTCAGGAAACAAATGTTGAATGATGTTCTCCGCTTTGACATCAAAGAAGAATCATGGGGTCGGTATGTAACCCTTAATAACCATTTACAATGTCATACATTATTTTAATTTCTCATTTTGTATCGTTTCAAAATTACTTATTGATTCATTTTATTTCAATAGTTAGTTACCTAAATTTATCTGTAAAAAAGGCATTTAAAGTCTTACATAAAATACACATTAAAGATAAACATGGTAGTAAAAGAGTCCCAGGGTGGTCATTAGTTCGGTCCCTTGTAGGTTATATTGTTCCTTTCTACCCAGTAGTTAAAATTGGTAAAAGTTGTCTGTTTAGAGATTCTTACATTTTACAGTCTTGTGCCTATCACCTTTATTATTTTAATTTGATTTCAGGGCCTTTACAACCGGAACCCCTCCTGCTCCTCGATATCATCACTCTGCTGTAATGCATAAGGGCAGAATGTTCATCTTTGGTAAGTTAAACATGTTTGTTAAAGTATTGTCTGGTTGGATTGAAGCTGGTAATTTAGCTAACTTCCTTTTTATGAGGTCCTGGTTGAAGTCGTGTCAAACTCCAGGATTTTTTCCTTCTTATTCCTCATAATGAAAGACTTAGGCCCTAACTTTAATATCGAGAATTCACTGTATCCTATTCGGCCAGTATCTTGCTAATTGAGAAGTGAAAGTAAAGTGAAAAAGTGGTACTCTTGTTCATAACTATGTAGCCTATCTTGTATGGCTACCGAGTACTGGGGTAATCTTGAATAAAATAGAAATTTGCAACTAAACCTAAATCTACCAATATTTTTTACATTGTAACTATCCAATACTAAATTACTTTAAGTCATACCAACTATTATATATATTTCTGTTCAATTGTATATATCTTTCTTTATTTTTTTTTATTATTCCAAAGAAGCAGCTTTGTTATTTTTAAATCATTCTATCCATTTACCTACCTCTGCTTAGAATTAATTATGGTTTATAGTAGTATTAAAGTTCAATGACCATTTTATAATTATAAAAGGTATTACAGTACCAGAATTGTCGGTTGAATTTGTTCTAGATCTCCATTGAACCATATGAACCCTGTGTGTTTGCCTGGCCTTTGAGAATTACAACCCTTTTAAGAATACTGATTTAATTTGATTTATTGTCTTGCAGAAGCTTTTTAACTTATTTCAAGTTAAATCAAATTTACTCTCCTGTATTTTAACTAGGAAGAAATAAAAATTATACTTTGAAAAGAAAGGTAGATAAATTACTGTTGGATGTCTTTAAGAAATATTATCGATAACCTTAAAAAGAAAAACATATTTTAATTGTTAAGCTTAAATGAAAACTAGAGAATGAGATAGTTTTCCAGAAAATTTTGCTTCAGTTTTTTTCAGCCAGGCTTGTGTCTCTTGTGTCAATCATCCCTATTCAGGGGTCCCAAGCTGGAAGAAGTAATTTCTAGTGAGATTGGTTTAATCTAGCTTTCTATAGCACATTTGATTTTGTTTTGCTACTTATGCTGATACCAATTGAGATTTGTCAGGTTGCTGGAGTGGGTTAGACTCGGGACCCCGGCCTACTGATGAACGTAACATACATTTCAATTTCCTTTTCTTTGTGTACAGTACTCTATTCAACTAACAGTGTTTGTTTTCATTTTTTCTTCCCCATGCTAATATATGTTCCAAATCTCTTAAATTTTGGAGTGTACTTATTACCCGACAGGGTCTGAATTTCCTCAAAATGCTCCATCAGCTAATAGTTTCTGTGGGCTATGGCTTTACTACAGCAATTTATTCTTCTTCTATATCAACAAGCTTCGTAAGTTGTTTTAAGAATAGGCCTATCCTATAAATGTAGTGTACAGGTGTTTCAATAGCAAAAACCTTGCTGTCAAGGCTGGGATTTACAACAGCAGTGAAAGATCCTTTCTACAGCAGTTGCTGTGGGGAAATTGAACCCTGTCCAAGGCTAGACTTATTACCCTTACTGTGTATTACAATGGATACTTTTGTTTCCATAGATAAGGTGTTCTTTCACAAGCTTCTTTTCTTTCTTTTTTTATCCGAAATTTACTGAATATATTAGAAAAAAAACCCCTGTAAAATAGTTATACCCTTGTTCTTTATGGACAGAAACCCTGTATTTTGTAATATAGTATCTAGGTGTAATAGTTAATAACAAACTTTGTTTATAGAAGTAACAATGGTATTTTGCTGTGGTCAGATAACACACTATGGATTTGTTACTGTGTGTAATCCTATCTTCATTACTCATAAGTAATTTCACTCTAACAATCAGTTCTTCATTTTACCCATATAACTGAATGATTCAGGCATACTTTGAGGAGGACTATAGGGCATGTTTGATATTTGAATCTACAGTAGTTGTGATACAATTGAATAATTGTTGACATTAAGTAATATGATGATATGAGTACTGTAAATGAATAAAGGAATCCTTATTTATTGCAGCAACTATACAGCTAACATTAGTGTAACTTGAAATTTTTGATAATGAAACCTATATAAAGTGATTAAATCTTAATACTTTTCTTTAATTTTATTATATTTTATTGTGATTTTGTTTACAAATCAATTATTTAATCCAAGTACCTGTATATTCCATTGGTAGGATGGCCACTTATGCTGCATAGTTGTCAAATAATAGTGTAGGCCTACAGAGCAGATACTGTACAGTAGACAGGGAAAAGCATTGTAGTTTTTATCACCATTAAGTAAATTCTCAAATGAAACCCACCAAACTGCAAACTTTTATATCAAATATTTTATCCATCCTACTATATGTAGAATAGACAAAAACAACCAAGTTGTTAATGTTTGTCAAGAAAGAGACTTCTGACAACAAATGCTTAAATCCATAGGATATGGAGGATAGAAAGGATTACAAATAAACAGCAATATCAAATGGCAGGATTATTATAGTCTTGTAAAAATTTGAACTAGAGCAGGAAGTGGGAATAGATAAAACCATGGTAGTAACTTTATATGTAACGCCATTATAGGACCAATATCTTATATAACAGGCTCATCTACTCTGGAACCCTCAGATGGGATGGCAGTTTGGCACTGCAATTTTCATTCAGTTTCTTACTTGTTCAGGAGTTTGAACCAATTGCATGTTGTTATGTTTCAGCTCCTAGGTATTTCATGGCTTAAAAAATACCATATTTTTTCAAATAAATTCCAGGGCCATTTATTGTTGAAAAGATTTTTTTGGTGTAAAATGGATGTATAAATACTCAAATAAATGTCTAATTTCACTGTAAATGTGGAACTGCTACACATAATTACCATGAAAATGTGTTATTGTGTGATTATAAAGACTTAAGTAGAATATTAATAGAGTGTTTTGAAAATGGTGTTGCTTCCATTAGTTTTGCTTTGCTGGGGGGGGAGGGGACTTTTATGTGAGCAAGAACTAAACACTCCAGGGTGTTTATTCGAGGGAGGAATTTATTCCTAATGAAGCTCTTGAAGAAGAATTTTTTTTTTTTTTTTTTTTGGGGAGATATTTGTTCAAAGCAGATGTTTATTTGAATTAATATGTTAAATATTGTGACAGCTTCTCTTCATTACAGTATTACATGACAGCCAACTAGGAATGAAGAACTGAGAGATGTGAGAATGGGTTTTACCATGAGAATAGAGATGTGAAGTTGTGGGAGTTACTTCATGGTTTTTGCTGTGGCTTTTGATAAACACCACAATGGTTTACAACAATCGGAATACTTAGTGGGAAAAATATTCACTATTCAATAAGATTAAGATTTAGATGGCAGGTATTTTGTTTATAGAATTTATTTGACTCAAAAACCAAAGGTTTGTATAATATAATATAACAGTTCCGGTCTGGATAAGCTATGGTGATGTTTTTATCCAACATTCCAACGTAAAGTTCAGTGACTTAATAATAATAATAATAATAATTTATTGGCTCTCTTTCAAAGCAGAGGAACACTCACGCAGGAGAGGTTCAACCATACTACAACAATACAAAAGTTAAAGATAAAATACTGTAAATCAAACTAGATTTAGGTTAAATTAAATCATTTAAATATTATTTTTGAGTTCAAAAGGTTATTACTGTAGTATTAACTGTGCACAGAACAAATTTAATTGTACAGTATATGTATAGGTCTATATATTTACAAGGATGTCACCAGCTTTTTGGAGTGCCGGTCGGCGATCATCCCGCATTTTCCCGGGGGGGGGGGGGGTGTCTAAAATTGTTTAGGCTAGGCCCAGGTAGGCCTAGGCCAGAATTTGAGGAATGCAACAAAACAGATGAAGACGAGACTTACTGTAGGCCTAATAAAATTCAATAGTTGCCATGCTTTGTTTTAGATTAAAAAATAATAATGAACAAATCCCGGCGACAAGGCGTCGATCCGACTGTCAACTCCACATGCTTGGCGCGCGTGTGTGTGTGTGGCCGCAGTTGGGCCGGTGTTGTTGTGTTGTACCCTAGCTGCGTATTTGCGGACGAATACATGGTTGTATTATGTTTTTAAAAAATGAGTGCAATGTTGAATATAGTATCTGTGAGTAGTACTACGGCTAGCAGACAAGAAAAGGCATGTGCTGATTGACGTTCTAATTGGAGTTCAGGGATTTCCTTGTCAACTTTAATCTTCGAATGTGTACAGCAACCGTGTCATGCCAGCCCACAATGTTCGCTATAGCCTGGTTCACACGAGAGCCCTGGTATCCGGATCGGAAGTTAACGGTTAGCGCTATACCGTTAGCACTTGTGTGAGAACGCCCGATCGGTTAGCGCTAACCGTTAGCAAGTTGAGGGCGTTTCTATCATCAACCAATCACATGTATGTGTTTACAATTTCCAGTTTCTTATTGGCCAGTGATTCGATCATCATATTGTTGGTATCCGGATCGGGATTTTCTCGCATAGACGTACGGCAGCTAACGGTTAGCAGGATCCGGATCCTGCTAACCGTTAGCTGCCGTGTGAGGACATAGCCTGTGACTCAATTGGGCCTAGGCTGTTAGCGATGAATAGCAGGGCAGTGCAGTATTTTGTTACAATTAACGTAACCACGGAAACATTTATTGTATTCTTCTTGTCTTTATCAGGTTAGCTTGTCTGTTGTGTTTAGGTAAACTAATTATTTTGTTACAATTTGTAAACTGTTGAAATAATAGTGGTGGTCGGGAGCCTGTAAGTCCTGGTCGGAAATGTTGAGTGCTGGACGGGCCCGTCCACCGCCGACCAGCGTGGTGACATCCCTGTATTTATATTATTTTTTTTTTTATTCTTAATTAATTCGCATAGAGACTTTTTGTTTTTTTGCACTTTATAAAATAAAAACCATTAACCATTATGGAATGACTTCAAACATCTAGGCCTACTAGTAATACTACTGTACTCTAGTTCTGGAAAATCTGGATCCTAATAAAAACACAGTAATAAAGTAGAACCCCTCTATTGGGACATC